CAGTTATATGTAATTTAAATGAAATGTTACAAGTTTTTTATGATGCTATAATGTTATTATCTGGTTGTTATTATCCAACCATTACTTTAGCTGCTTTACAAATTTTAAATATTCAAAAAAAATTGATAAATATCGTATTGATGCTACTTTTGGACCTATGATTTTTGAAATGGAGAGCAAATTTAATAAGTACTTTAGGCCTATTCCTCATATTTTTGGTTTGGGGGTTCTTATTGATCCATGCTTGAAGGATATTGGCCTTCGAAGTTTGTTACAGTCATTGTATGGTGGACAGGTTATAGACTTAGATGATGGAACCACACTGAATGCTATTACTCATCATTTACTTATTAGAAATTATTTTCGAAGTTTGTTACAGTCATTGTATGGTGGACAGGTTATAGACTTAGATGATGGAACCACCCTGAATGCTACTACTCATCATTTACTTATTAGAAATTATTTTCAAACCTTATATGATGAGTATGCAGCTAGACATGGTGTAGCTGCACAACAGTCTGCAGCTTCGGTTTCTTCGAGCTCATCCCGAGCCCGAGGTAAAAGTGTAAGTTTTGATAGGTATGCAATGGTAGCTGAGCTAACTGGTGGATCTGGACTTGGATCGTCATCATTGGAGGTTTCTGAAATAGATGAATATTTTTCTGCTTCTTTAGTTAGATGTCAAGGAAATGCTTTAGATATTTTGCAATGGTGGAAAGTATATGGATCAGTTTCATATCCTATACTTTCCACCATGGTTCGTGACTTACTAACAGTGCAGGTTTCGACGGTAGCTTCGGAATCCGCCTTCAGCACAGCAGGTCGTTTGATCGATGATCACAGGACATGCTTGGATCCGTATACTGTACAAGCGGTGATGTGCTTACAAGATTGGTGGAGGTACGAGAAGCGAACGCAAGGCATCGATCGGATGGCTGGAATTGAAGATAAATTTAAAGAATTGGGACTAGCAGATAGATATAAAGAATAGATTGTAGTTTTTATATCTTAGCTTAAAATTTGTAAAGAATTATTTTGGAAATAATTACAAATGATAGTGATATAGGTGAGTAGGTACCAACCTAGTTGGGATTTACTTATCTATTGTGATGCGATTAATTCTAAAATAAATTTATACTTGTAATTTGTAACTGATTTATCAATTATTAATAAAAATTTTGTTTTTATCATTTTTTATTTGTAATTTATGTTATTTTAAGTAATTAATAAAATTATTGATTTTATTATTTTTCTTATCTTTTTTTATAATTTAAAATTTAAATAAAATTGAAAAAATTTGGGGGGAAAAAATAAAAAAAAGAAAATCAATCGGGCCAGCCCGGAACCCGGCCCGGTCGGGCCCGGGCCCGGACCCGGCCCGGTGTACCCGGGTCCGGGTCCGGGTCCGGGTCCCGGTTTTGCCCGGCCCGGGCCCGGATTTTCGGGCCGGGCCGGGCCGGGTGGACAGGCCTAACTGCCGTGCCCTCAAGCCTCTTCTCTGAGTTACATTCCAAAACACTCATCCTCTTGCTCATGACCCTCTGTGTGTTGTTTTGTTAGAAATCCGTATATGTAGTTTAATTACACCCACGGTTTCTCTATAAAATTTAATTTATTTTTGATCAAATAGCAATGATGCAGTATGCTTCTTTGTACATTACGCTATTTTGAAAACTCAAAATCTTGATTACATGGATATGTAAAATACAGGATTTTCAATCCTTACAAGAAAAGGAGGGAAACATATACTCAATTTAAAGTGAGTAAACAAAAAAAAAATTCCCCATCTAATTAGCGTTCAGAGTAATCTATCTATATATATAATAATTATATATATATATATATATATAATAGTAATATATAATATAATATATAATATAATATTATATATATATATATATTACTATAGTATATACTATTATATATAAGATATATATACTACTATATATATATATTATAATATATATATATATATCATATAATTATATATATATACTATGACGAGAGAGAGATGAGAGAGAGAGAGAAAGAGAGAAATATGGGCTATGCTGAGTGAGTGTCACATCTCCCTTCACTCTCAAATTGTCGGACCAGATTCACATTGAGTAGATGAGTGGATGGGATGTGACAATCACTACCAACACAAACTTTGTTGTGGCTAGACCCAAGCATACCCAGTCATAATATATAAATATATATATATTAATATATATAATATTTATATACATATATATATATATATATATATATATAATATATTATATATATATATATACTATATTAGAGAGAGACGAGAGAGAATAATGGAGGTGAGCTGGCAAGCCTCACCTCACCCTACTGAGCCTGCAAAGTAATATGCATGTGAGCCCCAGCATCGATGTGACCATAGGAGGGCTCACATGTCATACACCTTTACAGCTCATGTGAGATATGATGAGTGCCAGCATCACCGAACTCCATTATTCTCAATATAATATAATATATATATATACTCATATATAATATATAATAGATATATATATATATATATATATATATATATATATATATATATATATCTCGCGCGCGTTCTTTTTTTTTTAACCGTGAAGCTGGGTCAAGGACTCAAGGGGAGCCACAAACTAAAGTGGCAACTGAGTTCAATTCCTTGCTCGTAGTAGGCATCATGAAGAAAGCATTCGCCTGAGAGTGGGGACACTGATCATCCACAACTTTGTGTGATCAGAAGATATATATAAAAGAACTAATGTGTATGATGTGACGATTCATTTTACTAAATGAGCTACTAAGAAAAGTTATGTAATGAGCCCTATCTTGCTAGTCATATCAAAAGTATAGTTTTCATCACTCTATTCCTTAATAACTTATTTTACTAATGAGTCATCATCTCATAACCGTCATTCCTTGTATATAATGGTCATTGGTCTATTGGTGGCAGTGGCACACGTATCTCATTGACCCTAATGTTTGTGGAGGCCACATTGGCCCAATACGTTCATTTTGAGCCCCATTTAATTCTTAATTTGGTGTGAAAAATGGTTTGAAAATTTGCTTCAGATATCTATTAAGTTGAATAAATAATCTATTATATTCACTATTGAGTTATAATATCTAAAATAAAGATAGAGGCACACCACCAACCACACTCCCAATCATACTCCCTCACTATCTATAGTGTATTGGGACCCACGTGAGATTTTTTTTTTAAATCTCACGCGTGTCCCAATACACTATAGATAGTGAGGGAGTGTGGTTGAGAGTGTGCCCATGGCGGGACTCTAAAAGCTAAGACTGAAACTGAACCTTGGGGAAAGTTTTTTAGGTGGTTGATGGTCGTCTTTGGCCCATTGATCCTTAAATTCTAGGGGCCGGTTTTACAATACCAAGCCTTGTCAACAAAGCCCACAACGCGGAGATAAAATACTTGCCAGAATTGAAACTAAAGTAAACTAAAATAAAGTCGAAAGTCACTTGTGTCGCTCGTATGGCTAGATTTGGAATCTCTAGAAGCCTATGTTACATGAACTTGTAGCATCATATATAATATGTAGCATGAGAGAATCGCCCAACCAATCATGAGCTCACGTGTTATGTTTTTATTTTTCTTTTTTTGGTTAATTGCGAATAGAGCCTCTCTACTATCACCTAATTACAAATACACACCTTGTGATTATATTTGTCGCGAATGGACCCTCTATAGTGTATTGGTCTAGGTGGAATTACACCCCGTTCATGAACTTTTGTTGTTGTTTAAAAGTAAATAAAATTATTAATTGAGGGTCTATCATTACCAGTAAAACTATAGGGAGTCTACATGTACTTGTCAAACATTTTTAATGATTTTAAAAGTTAGGGTCTCGACTCGCGAAAATAGAATTAGAGGGGGTCTATTTGCAGTTGAGTGTTACTACAAGGATCTCACAATTAAACCTTTTTTGCATTTAAACCCAACAAGTAAATCACACTCTGCAAATTATAACAGTGTTATCTTCTACTATACATGCGACATATCAGATCAGAATAAATTAAAATTTTACTAAAATCTCGAATTATCGATTAGGAATAGATTGGAGCATTTAAATTGATGAACTCGGGGATTTTACTAAATATTGTGCTGTTGCATTTGTTTTAAAAAAGGTAGGGTTGTCTTGTCATCATTTTTCTTATAAATACATGATTATTTCTGAACGCACATAAAATTAATAAACCTCTCATTTAAAAGCTTAACAAATTTCAATTAGTCTTGAAAGTTACTTTGATATATTTTTTTATTATTTTTATGCTTAGAAAACTAAGTTTCTTTACTCTTCTTTGTCTGATATGTTAGAACATCACCATTCATCCAAAACCATTTATATTTCTCTTGTCACGAACAACAATTTATGGGACAAACTCAATAGTTTCTTAAGAATATTCATTTCTTTAGGCATTGATTTGAGAAATGAGAAATCAAACGAAAGACTTATATTTTATCCTATTGGTTATAACTTTTCTTCGTTAATTGATATTAACAAAAATCGAAAAGTAGAGTTAGAAAGTAATAGTGCATGTTGAATGAGAATCTATGTCAAAAAGAAATTTTATTTCTAAAAGTTACAATTTCATTTCCCAAATAACAAAAATGTGTTCTCCATAAAAATCACTATTTATGTGTTTGAATTGGAGAGGAATACATTAATATCTTAACATAGTATGCCTGATTAGTTCCAAAATCTAAAATTACTTATCACTACAGTTATTAATTAACGAATAAATCAGATTTGGATATTCACCACGAAACAAATTAAGGAGTCCCAATAGAACTCTAAACCTGAATTGGGATTTCTTAATCAAAGGTAAGTTTCTGTAATTATCATTAGTCACTTAATCTTCTAATGAAAATTTGTTCAAAAATGCGCTGTTTTCCCCTTATTGATTGAATGGAACTTGAGTTTATCTATTATTTGATATTTCTCTCTGTTTGAACAAAGTCTATTGATTTTTTAAAAAAAATTAGGCCCATGCCAATTATATATGATGAAGAACAAAAACTCATCAAGGGTTGTGGATGTGGTTAGTTGCAATCTACTGCTGGTGGCTGCGTAGGCTAGAGCTTGGGAGGTTAAATATTGCACACCAGACGTTTGAGAAAATGCGTTAATAATTTGCTTCGATGCTTATCCAGTTGCAACATTTGTGATAATGCCCAATAATCATCTCCTCTCCAATGACTCCCGCCTTGATTTCCTCACCCAAAAAGGACAAAATCCCTGCTCAACTCGATAGCCAACACCCCTTTGAACAGCTTGCACTGCTGCCTCAACTCTTCGAAACGCGATGTTCTTAAGGTGGATGTTGCCAGTTTGTTCATAGGGTTAGAGATTTTAGGGGATTGGGAGAGAGCCCATGTTCTCTTTTCGTGGGTCTTGGCCAATACCTTGGATATTTCAAAGAGTCGCAACATTCGGTTGCATGCAAGGTGTTTCATGAAATTATTGTGGAAGACAGTCACCTTGATGACCGTGCTTATTGTAATGGGTTGGTTGAGAGGACTAAAGATAAGGGTTTATTGCCGAGCATTGTGACTTACAATGTGATGCTTGATGTTTATGGACGAAAGGGGCGATCTTGGGGGAAGGTTTTGGGTCTTTTGGATGAGACGGGGAGTAATGGGTTGGTTCTCGACGAGTTCACTTGTAGCACTGTGATAGCTGCTTGTGGGAGAGTAGAGTTGTTACAGGAGGCGATGGAGTTCTTCAAACAATTGAAGTCTCAAGGCTATGTTCCAGACACTGTAGCTTATAATTATCTACTTCAAGTATTTGGGAAGGCTGGAAACTACCCTAAGGAATTGAGAATTCTGAAAGAAATGGAGGAATGCAATTGTGAAGCTGATGATATAACTTACGATGAGTTAGATGCTACCTATGCTAGAGTTGGTTTTGTGATGAAGGAGCTGCTGCATTGGATACAATGGCCACCAAAGGCATTATGACAAACTCTATTACTACACTACAGTCATAAGTGTTTATGGGAAAGCTGAGAGAGAGGATGAGGTATTGGATTTGTTCTACAGGATAAAGGAATTGGGCTGTGTTCCTAATGTTTGCACTTTTGACACTGTTCTTGGCTTGCCGGGAAAGAAATTGATGTCAGGAGAGATGTTGGAGGTTCTTCTTGAGATGAAATCTAATGGTTGTATACCGAATAGAGTCACTTGGAATACTATGTTGGCAGTGTGTGGAAAGAGAGGAATGGAGAGGTATGTGAAATTGTGAATAGGGTTTTTCTCAAGATGAAGAATTGTGGGCCTCAACCTCATTGAGATACCTTCAATACCCTAATTGCAGCTTACGGTCGTTGTGGATCGCATTCTCGTGCTTTGAATAAGTATGATGAGATGGCTAAAGTTGGATTTAGCCCTTGTCTTACAACATACAATGCTTTGTTGAATGCAATTACAAGAAATCGTGATTGGAGAGCTGCAGAGTCAGTTATGGATGATATGAGGAAGAAGGGTTTCAAGCCAAATGAGCTATATTACTCACTTTTGCTCCGAAATCATGCATAGGCAAGACATACAGAAGGGATAGAAGCAATTGAAGAGGGGTTTTGCAAAGGTGGAATTTTTCCTACTTGGGTGATTTTAAGAACCCTCATAATTGCTAACGTCAAATTATTGAGAGGGTATTTGAAGGGCTAAATACAAATGGGTACAAGCCGGATTTGGTAATTCCCAACTCAATGCTCTTAATCTATGTGAAGAATGGAATGGGTGGCCGAGCTCAAGAATGTTTAGTTTTATCAATGACAATGGCTTGAAGCCAGATCTTATTACATGTAATAGCTTGATAGACTTATACGCAAGAGGTGTGGAATGTTGGAAAGCCGAAGAGATTCTAAAATCACTTCATAGACATGGCTTTGAACCTGACTTGATTTCTTACAACACTGTAATCAATGGATTTTGTGAGCAAGGGCTGATGAATGACGCTTTAAGGGTCTCTCAAAGTCGATGTCTTCAGGGATTAGGCCATGCACAATAACTTACAACACCTTTATTGCTGGATAAGTGAACATGAAGATGTTCAGCGAGGCAAATGATGTTATTGGCTACATGAAGGAGAATGATTGTAGGCCTAGTGAAGTAACATACAAGGCGCTCAATTCCATGTTTATATGTTTTAAATGTCTGTACAAGCATTTCTGGGCCAATATGTCCTTGTAGTTTGTTCACAAGCTTGTTCCGACACAACGTTGGATATATATTTAAAAGAACAAATTTTCACTTTAGCCCTATTTATTTTTTTTTATTAAAATCGACCTTTTTTTTTATTTACCAAAACCGACCCGATTTCTTGATTAGCAGCTTAATCACCTTCCTAATTAGTCGGGGTTGGCAACCCCGACTATTTAGGAGGGTGTTAAACCCTAATTAGAAGCCTTAAACACTAAAAATTAATGTCCTAAATAGTCGGGGTTGGCAACCCCGACTAATTAGGAAGATGATTAAGCTGCTAATCAAGAAATTGGGTCGGTTTTGGTAAATAAAAAAAAAAGGGGTCGATTTTAATAATAAAAAAATAAATGGGGCTAAAGTGAAAAATTGTTCTATTTAAAACTGCTGCCATATATTTTAGCTATGACATTGTAATAAAAGAACGAGACATTAAAGAGTAAATTGGAGAGAAGATGGAAAAACGAAAGTTTTTTATAAGTGTGCACCAATTTTCTAAGATTTGAAATTGAAAATAATTTCATTCATGACTCACCTTTTGTCACATTCTTTATCTTGATTTATTTGCTTAAAACTGAACTTGTGAATTTCCCAGTATTGGGGTTCTAGATTTCAAAGATTAACTCTGAGTCATGAATGCTCATGATAATTAAATATAAAAGAATTTTATAAAATCATGCAACTCTATAATATATACATTAACAACCTGAAGCCGACATTATCTTTTCATGTAACACCCACTGGAAAGATCCTGCTAACATATGCTATTGTCAAGTTTTAGACATTATTTAAATCTATCATTTCTTTGAGCCTCATGCCTAAGGAATTGGTCCATCTTGTTTCTAACCTGATTCTAGTTTTGATTACTATGCCATCTAATTTCAGTTCCAGTGCTACTACAATAAAGTTCTTTTAAGTTATGTGAAAAGCTAAAGTTATTTTTCTTTTAAGTGTTTCATAAAGGATGAGATAGAAGATTATAAGTAGCAGTTAATGTGCTTGTAATCATCTCAGATGTTAGCCGCATTGAAATCGAATACACAACAAAAACAAATTTCCTTGATTGTTTGTTTATATACATTCTGGCAACAAATCAATATATAACAAAGAACAAATCTATTTTGACCCTGTACACTGTACACAAGTTTCCGAAGATCATAATATCAGTTATTACATTTGTTTATCAGCATTCCTTTCTCTTCTTTCCTTTGAAAGTACTTCAGCGAAACGAGCAAGCGCTTCTTCATTAGTTCCTTCGCCATTGACGGGCTCATACCGTCCTGTCTCCAAGTTCAATCTAGATATCGACTTCTTCAACAGGTCTTTGCCAATTTGAACCAGATTTTGTAGATTCTCCTTTGTCGATACATCGACCGACGACGCGCTTCCAGTTAGTGTATCGTCATGTATCATAGCAAACATTTTGGTTCCATCAAAACACATATCGAAGGACGCTTCCAGTTAGTGTATCGTCATGTATCATAGCAAACATTTTGGTTCCATCAAAACACATATCGAAGGACACATCAACTAGGGTTAAATTGGGATAGGCCCTCTGAACTATTTATCAAATTGAACTAACCACTCCTGTAGTTATAATGTTGCAGACAAAACCCCCGAGTGTAAGTTTCTTGACTCTTTTCCGGGGTTCTACCTGCAACAAGAGATTATCACTCACGGGTTCTGTTTGCAACAATTAATAGAACCCACAATAGAACTGTAGGGCTCCATCGCAATTAACCTATCGACGTATTGGTTATTTTTACCTGTATGCGAAGATAGTTCTTCTGAGAGTGGAGTGCTTGAATAACAGTGGATGCGTGGATATCGACCAAGTTAGAGCTTGCTTGACTGAATATGTCGATGATTGGGGATGCGCCTTTGTTGTGTATCCACTGGAGGACTCCCCATTTGGCAGAATCTTTGGCGCTGATTCTGTGTGTTATTTTCGTTGATCCAATGCCGAGAGAGATTACAAGCAATTTGCGGAAACCCATGGACTTGACAGGGGAAAAGCCTAGTTTCTCCTTGAGAATTTCCTTTGTGGCGATGTTTATCGCTTCTGAAGTCTGCATCTCACAAAATATATACAAGAAGTTAGAAATCTACACCGCAGTCATAAGTCACAATAGAGAGTGTATAGAGTTTGCGTTCTATGTTCTAGCACGGGTTATTCCACACAATAGTGCCTTTTTTTTAACTTTAAAACTTTGAATTTGAAAAAATTACCGGATTATTTGCAGCAACACCGCCAGTGCCTTTTTTTTAACTTTAAAACTTTGAATTTGAAAAAATTACCGGATTATTTGCAGCAACACCGCCATCAATAAGATTAAAGCTCCTGCATCACCCTTTGGAATCTTTGATTTCAAATTGATGAGAAGGTAGATAGGTTGGAGCTGCTGAAGTACAAATGCAAACGTCGGATAGCAAAGCATCCTTCAAAGGTTCAGATTTTGCCTTCAATAATCATGTTTCAAATGTCAGATAAATAGACGATGCAAACATGAAAATGTCTAAATTAAGTTGGAAATCAATATATTCGTCGATGAATACATACATCGGCGGTGGAGAATATCACGGGCTGAAGGAGCTTTATGTCGAATGTGGGGATGACTATGTTGGTCAGTGTTTGGTGTAGCCGTACGCCACCGAGCAGCTCCCTCACTTTGGAATGCAAGTATTCTCCATCGTATTTGGTCCCTTTGACTGCACCGAGCCAACCCATCGCGGAACTTAGGAGCCCGCTGCTGTGAGAAATAGGGGCAGGGAAAAAAATTAGAAAATACCTCAAATGTCAGGTTTAATTCCAGTCGGCGTCTGTCTGGACAAATTAACCTCACGGTTTGATTTTCAAGAGGGCTATGAGCAAACTCACCTTTTCTGGGGGAAGATCTTAGGGCAATTCTCTAAATAGAACTGACTAATCTCGTGCGCTTTGAAGAGAGGACGATCATCCTTGTTGGGGGCGGTAAGCATCGCGGCCACGAGGCCGCCGGTGCTTGTTCCGACGATGACATCAAAGTAATCAGCGAGCCTCGTATCAGGCCCATCAAGCTCCTGCAACATACAAACACAATATTTACTAGAAAAGAAATCGTAGTTAAATTTAGACATACAACAAATATTAATTTGTAACATGATGTGAAAAGAGAGGATACTTACTTGGAGTTTTGATTCGAGAAAGGCGAGGATGACCGCGGGTATTATGCCCCTAACCCCTCCGCCGTCGATGCTTAGAACTGTGATCAAGCCGCTCATTGATTTGATTGCTGAACAAAGCAGGGGAGTGAGAGTTGTTTTCTTGTTTACGAGTGGGAATGGGAACGAAGCAGGAATTGAGAGTTGTTTTCTTGCTTGCGAGTGAGAATGGAAACGTAAGAAATGGGAGTGTTGTTCTTCTTCTTCTATAGCTGTGATGTTGTTTTAAAAGAGAGCTGGGAATAGGAGATAGACGTTGGTGATACTTGATGACTTCAGATCCGATGGGTCAGAAGAGGAAGGAAGCAATCATGAGCTGAATTACCCAATTAGGAAGTTTGTTATCAAAAACGAGCTTTGGCCTTTGCTAAAATGAGGATGCGTATGATTATTCAAGGATAAATGTAGATCTCAAAATCATCATAATTAATTCAGTTGTTAACTGAAATTTTAGTTAGAAGGCAAGCCGACTTGCTGAAGGATTAGGAAAATGAACCTTCCTTATTTGGAAACAGGGGGTACAAATGGAAAGAAATAAACGGTCATATGATTTTGCATCGTTTCTTCCATTTTTAGCGAAATCTGAAATTTGGGTCCAAGGTGTAATAACTCCTAAATTGGAAAAACCCGACTTCTCTCAGTGACACAACATATCTGAAGTCATCATGTTTCCAAATTCAAAAGGATAAAAAAACATAACTGGCACCTTGGACCCAAACATATCTGAAGTCATCATGTTTTTTTATCCTTTTGAATTTGGAAACATGATGACTTCAGATATGCTGTGTCACTGAGAGAAGTCGGGTTTTTCCAATTTGAGAGTTATTACACCTTGGACCCAAATTTCAGATTTCGCTAAAAATGGAAGAAACGATGCAAAATCATATGACCATTTATTTCTTTCCATTTGTACCCCCTGTTTCCAAATAAGGAAGGTCCATTTTCCTAATCCTTCAGCAAGTTGGCTTGCCTTCTAACTAAAATTTCAGTTAACAACTGGATTAATTATGATGATTTTGAGATCTACATTTATCCTTGAATAATCATACGCATCCTCATTTTAGCAAAGGCCAAAGCTCGTTTTTTATAACAAACTTCCTAATTGGGTAATTCAGCTCATGATTGCTTCCTTC